TCCTGCTCCTCCTCTTCCTCCTGCTCCTCCTCCTCCTCTAACCGGACCGACGCCATGATGCTCCTCCTCCTGCTCCTCCTCTTCCTCCTGCTCCTCCTCCTCCTCTAACCGGACCGACGCCATGATGCTCCTCCTCCTGCTCCTCCTCTTCCTCCTGCTCCTCCTCCTCCTCTAACCGGACGGACGCCATGTTGCTCCTCCTCCTGCTCCTCCTCCAGCTCCTCTAACCGGACCGACGCCATGTTGCTCCTCCTCCTCTAACCGGACGGACGCCATGTTGCTCCTCCTCTTCTAACCGGACCAACGCCATGTTGCTCCTCCTGCTCCTCCTCCTCCAGCCGGCCTCCTTCCTTCTCCTCTAACAGGCCGGACGCACTCCTCCTCCTCTTCCACCTCCTCCAGCCAGCTTACCTCCTTCCTCATCCTCCTCCAGACGGACTCGTTCCTCCTCCTCCAGCCAGCTTGTATTCTCCTCCTCCTCCTCTTCAAGCCAACCACCTTACTCCTCCTCCTCCTCCTCTAACCAGCTGGACGCCCTCCTCCTCCTCCTCCAGCCGGCCTCCTTCCTCCTCGTGGCCGTAGCCGTGTTTACTTCGTACTTAAGTAAAACCAATTCCCTGCTGTTTGCTGTCATTTACACTCGGCCCCCTTCATCTTTTCTCATACAGGTTTTGTTTGTTAAGTCCTGAATGACCATAAAGTGTACAGAAAACTTCACAACCTTTTTTTATTTAAATCCAGTTAATGGCAGCACGCCAGAGCCAAAATGGTCTTATTGGCTTTAATTTTTTGCATGGAAACTTTGAAATTTTGGTTTAATTTTTGTGATTTTCAGAGCCCGTTTTCTCCTGTAAAACTCTGAATAAACGTCCTGTGTGGGTGGGCGGACAGTGACACCTCCTGGACACACAGAGCCACTGCAGCCTGATAAGAAACCTCTTTATTTGCACTGCGGCGCTTCAGCAGAGAGAGAGACTTCACACTCAGAGCAACAGATACAGAGAAAACTAAAAATATACTGTGTGCATTTGAGCATGAAGAGAGTCTCATTTCCAACCAAAAACGTTTGAACGTG